TTAATTTTCCCTTTGGGGCCCCGCCCTGGCCCCAGGGGTCGGGGTAGGAATCTCAATTTTACAATTTGAAACCATCTACCTCCAAGGATAATTCTCACCAAGTAAAAATAATTTCCTACAGAAAGTTGTCAAAATATACCCAAAAGTGTTATTTCCCTATATAAACTATAGTAAACTTTACCCCCTCCCCAAGGGAGAACGGATAGCTCGGGGGTCCTGAAATTTACAATTTAAGTAAAGCCCCTGATGATCTTTCTTTCCACGTAGAGAAAATCACTGTAGTACCTCTGAGTCTGGAGAAGAAGATTTTTGAAATATTGATTAATTTTCCCTTTGGGGCCCCGCCCTGGCCCCAGGGGTTGGGGTAGGATTCTCAATTTTACAATTTTGAAGCCTCATCTACCAAGGATGATTCTGACCCAAGTTTGAAAAAAATCCATCCACTGGTTCTTGAGAAGAAGTTGAAAATGTAAAAGTTTACGCACGACGCACGACGGACGACGGACGACGGACGATGGATGACGGACGAAAAGCGATTGGAATAGGTCACTTGAGCAAAGCTCGGGTGACCTAAAAAGAAAGATAAAACAATAACCCACTGGAAATCAGAGATTAAAGGCATAGTTGAAGGACTAATTAACACAATTACATTATGTTTTTACTGCGTTCTATCATAATTAATTGAATGTCTCCTGACTTGTCATATTTGAGAACACACTATTTTACAATAATTTTTTTACACTGTACCATTAATTTGCGTATATGCCTCTTTAAGCCTTTGATTATATATTAACCTATATTTACAATCGTATGTCATTGCCATTGTATAACCCTACCACATTCAGATGTCATTCATATATGCTATGAGTGCCATGAGCCCAATGTTGATGTCATAATTGTTATGTTAGATATCATTCACTGACAACGAGTCGCATATTTCTTGAAAATGAATATTTCCTTACCTGGACCATGAGGAAGTTCAAATTAGACAGCTCTGCTTCCAGGTGTCCACCCACTTGCTCTGAAGGCAAGAATTATAATCCTTTTTACGACAGTTTTCGCAGAAACAGGACAGTTCCCGTGTCCAAATTACGCCTTTGGACACCCCTTTGACGGAATGGAATTACTGGGTTCCTTTAACAGTCTTTACCTGCCGGCTGGGTCTGTTCCGATCAATGTCCTGGGACGGGACTTAGATAATTGTCCTCCTTTTGTGGTTATGAGTGCCATTGATGCTTTCAGGTTTACTAAGTGTTGTCTGGCAATACATGGCAAATTCTTGTGCATTGTTTATGCTGACTTCACCACTTTTCACACCTCTTGTTACTTTTGACTTGAGTATACCCCCTTCGCCGTCACATCTATTTTTTCCATGACGTGAACCATAGTAGACACGTTCAATAGTAGATCCAAAGTCCTCAATACCCATGCTTGCATCCATGAACGATGTTTTCCCTTTATATTGCGAAGCACATCCATCGGTAATAATGATCTGTTCTTCTATTACTATATTCCTTGTGGTAAGATGCTGGATTATCTTTTTATGAAAAGTATGAAACGCATCTGCATTGTGGATATTATCATCCGACACTATATATATTGCTTCTTCAGTGATCTCACCATCTTCTGGGCACCTGTAAAACGTTATTGTTGGATGTACAGTTACCAGATTCCGCATCCAATGTGCTCCCTGAATTTCGTTTTGGCTAAAACATGTGTAATTTTCTGCAAAGTCTGCGATGATTACGACTTGCTTATTCGCAACATGTTTGACAAGGGTTCCTATCTGGGTCTGCTGCCATTCAGCCTCAAATAGATGTTTTGCTAGAAATGTTACATCTGTCACCATCTTCTTTATGAATTCCCTTGGATCCAGTGATGTTTCAACAAGTTCTCGTTTTGATGTTGTCTTTCCCGTCTTCCTATTGTGATATTTGACCAAATCCCAGGACTTAAACTGAAAATGACCCTCTTTGTTACATAAAGGCTCCAATACCTCCTCCAGAGCTTTCGCTGAACAGGTGGTACATGTTCTTTGAATGCAGGCCAAGTCCTGGAATTGGGACTCTCCAACTTTTGGACACATTATCAGGCTTATGCAGCTTAATTTGTTGGTGATTTTGATACCTTCACATTTGTTAACTGCTACTATCTTCAGTCGGATGTTTTCACAGTACTCACATAAGCACTGTAGCAGATGACGCCTACTTTGCTTAAGAACATCTCTCGGTTTCACTTGTAGAAACTTTGAAAATGACACCTTTTTGTCTGGGTTAAGAGACTTCCATTTGTCATATGAACCCCTGTATAAATCTTGAAGTACATGTTTTGAGTTCATTGCTTTATTAACTGCTTTTTTGTTGGGCACATTGATAGAAACAGTTTCCATCCGATAAAACTCCTCTATTGACTGTGTTGTGTTCTCATCCAATGCATCTTTCCTCTTCTTGTATTTTCTTTCAGTAATATTGTGTGTTAGGAACTTTCTATTTATTCCTAAACGGCTGCACACTGCTGTTGCATTTCTGTTTTTGATATTGCTTGCCAGTTGCCTTACAAAAGAGCGACGGAGTTTAACTTTATTTTTTTCCCGTCCTTCCATTGACTTGTAAGTTGCACTCAGAGTCTCAGTCAACATGTCCAGCTTCTTTCTCGCATTTGGTGATGTTATACCTTTTTTTCTGAGGGCTTCAGTTTTTCGTGGAGTTGTATTTTGGACAAGCTTGGTAACCACCTCCGCATATTTTTTTGGACTCTTTGGGATCTTTAGTTTTGCTCTATACACTGCTTTTCTTAAAGCATCATCTGAAAGTGATGGGCCGGAAACATTCTCATGGGTGCTGGAAGTGGTTTCTGAATTTCCTTGCTTCTTCTGTTTTCTTTTCCTTTCTCTGTCTTTTTCTCGGATTCTTCGTTTTTTTTGTGAACTCAGTTTTGATCGTTGGTTTTGTTTTTGTGATCGCCATCTTTCTCTCTTCTCTATAATTCTTTCTTCCTCCTGTCTGGTATTTGGGCGTTTGTTTTCATCATTAGCCTTATCTTATGCTTGCTTTTTTTTCTCTCTGTAAATTTGCATTCTTAGTCTGCTTTGTTCTTTGTTTCTCTGCCTTTGCTCTTCACTCCATCCCAATCTTTTCTCTTTCATGTGCATAGCATGACTTTGTTTTGATAAATCATACAATTCTGGGAATTGTTTTAATCTTTCGCGATATTCTTGCAACCTTTGTGCATGCTTTTGTTTCTCTGCAATATTTTTTGTGGTATGTGATGTTTCTCCATTTTGTTTTTTGAAACTAAATTTCACCTTCCTGAAAAGAAAAGAAATTATTTTCTTATGCTTTTTAAAATTATAAATGTTTGGAATCATCACTGGTTGATTCTTTTTGCCAGAATTTGCATTCTTTTTTGTAAATGATACAACTGATTGAGCTGAAGAAAATAAACAATATTTTTTTTTATTGTCTTTTGTATTTATTTCAAAGTGGTGCAGACATTACCAAGGGAAAATTTCCCTTTTATGAATTATTTTGATATGCATATGATTTTCTGAAAACAAAATGAACAAAGGGGTAATAAAAACATACAGATCTAACTAATTTTTAATGTTTGAGTTGGTGTAATTCAAATATGAGCACTGAAACAGACATTTGACACTGATTTAAATTATGATAGATTTGCACGTAACATGGAAGGAAAACCAAAATCCGTCTTTTATGACATTTTGTGATGCTGATTGTCCTAAAACATTCGTTGAAATGATCTAGTAGCTATATACTGATGTTACATTTGGTTAAATGTGATATTTATCGATTCCCATAAACAAAACTATTTTATATCATAAGAAGGATCATGTAATAGCCATTAGACACCGCTCGCACCTAACAATTATGTGCACGTAACGCGGACGGAACCCCGAATTCCGTCTTCTATGTGTTAGATGAAGCTGAATGTCGTAAATATTTATTGGATCGGATTGCCGTTTTATGTCAATAACAGCAAATACGCTTTAGTTTAAAAATCAATACAATAATATCGGTCATTTCCGAATAAACTAGTAAATATATATTGAAAATATGGAACTCACGTAACTAGTTTTCATTGCAAACACTCACGTAACAACGTGACAGAACTCAAACTTACCCGCTCATCGCTAAGGACGCTGCCGCCAACAAACTGGAAATCACCTAAACGCTTCTTGGTGCAGATCGCGATCTGAGTCATCAAGCGATTGTAAGCAATAGACTGCGCAAGGGTATAATAGCGCGGTATGAAAGTGCACTCACGTAACACGTTTTGGTGGACAGAAACCATCTCAATTTTTTCCATGCCGTGTTTCAAGAAAAAGCATCAACCACAGATAGCTTTACTCACGTAAGGTTATGTATATGATATTAAATAGCATATTCATGAATGAAGAACGATTGTTTTGCTGACGATTTCCAGGCTGTTAGTTATCAACGTAACACATATGTATGGACGGAACGTTACGTGAGTGACACTATCAATTTATCGCCGTTTTATTCTTATTTTTTATGAAAACATCTTGAAATCAATTTGCCTAAATGATAGTAGTATATCTCCAGTTAGATATAAGCTCTAATAAAGTGGGTTTATGTATATAATTATAAATCTCCACACAGTAATTGAAGGGTTTTTTTTGTCCCAAAATGGCAGTTATTTTTTCATCAATAACGACCACATTATGTCGGATTTTTCTGCCGTGAAACACAACAGGAATCTGAAATTTTCAACAGTATCTCTTTATTATCTGTACCAACAAAAGACATACTTGAACATACACATAATTAAAAGGTCTAACAGTAATTATCTCCACAATTAGGAAACCGCTAAATGGGTCATGGAGTGAAAAAAAGAGCCACCTATAGAGCTGTGCCAGTGATAATTTGTCCGTATTTATGTTGACTTGCAACTCTCACAGTACCGGCGATCCCCCCGTGCAACTTACAAGTACCGGAATCGGAACTTGCAACTCTCACGGGCTTGTGAAGTACACGCTACAACGTCACAAGGGAGTGGCCTCGTTCCGGGTCAAGAAATATGCATAAATGAGAGGTCAACTCGTATGACCCAATAGTCGTGTCACTTCAATGTAACCAGACAACGCGTGCGGGATTGGGCGTTTTAATAAGGGTTTAAAACACCACTTTTATATAATACAGGATTTTTGTTTTTCGTTGCACAAATCCTTTAATTTCGTAAAAGAGTTTTTGCATGGGTAAGGATTCGTTTTTTCAACAGTTATGCAATATTTTGATAATATTTTACTCATATGAGGCGTGAATTATATGCAATCTTACAGATTAACACTTTTGATTTTGCTCCATTAGTTGGCATAGGACCGCTTCGTAGCTCCGACGACGCAATATATAAAATAAAAACCTCGTAGTCAGAAAGCTACGTTATCGCAGCTAATGTTTTACCTGCAGGCACCCACTCCATGCATGGACAGTTAAACGATTGCGTTCCGTATATATTGCCACCGGTGATTCCGTAGTTTATATTGACCCACATGCGTGTCTTTGTAGTTTCTTTCTGAATTCATGCTCGATCAGAATGTTTTGTTGTTATGTCTGTCCGTGCATATCGACTCATGAATATAAGTGTTAAGTTTGCTTCTCTCATATTCATAGCTCGTAGATAGCAGTGGGACGAAATCACTACTTGGATAGGATATTAGTGTCAGACGAATCGGCTGCGTTAGTTTCATTTTCAATGATAATTATTTACACCCCATTTATGATAACTTTATTTTGAATGTATACATGACGTTTAATGACATAATACATAAAAAGTGCTTGATCAGTTATTGTCAATTTTACCTTCATAATATCGATTCAGTTGAGACGAAAAGACTCGGATTGATATGAAAATGATTGCAGACAAATCGGCCCCAGATTTTCTAGATACTTTAGCACAGGTTGTGTGAAAGGCTCCAGAATGTTCTTTTCGGTTTCTGGCAGAGTTTCTGAGGTATTCACCTTTGTGTAATATATGTGTCTTCTGAAATATGGTGTTTTTTCTTTTCCATTTGATAGCACGGATCTGATGCCGACTAGGATAGTGTACTTACCTTGCTGACATATCAGCTGTTAATAGCACGCTATGTTGACGGCACAGTACCCAGTAGTCCACAAGTCTGTACTTGTAACGGGTTGACCAGTTCCTACCGCTTCAGTCTGAAGGCTAACGTCAAATAGGACATTCATATTATTTACTTGCGATATTGACCTTTATGGACTACTGTTTGTCCAAGTCGGGGACCAATTCATTATCGTTATATCAGATATTGTCCCCATTAAATGAAATATTTAAGCAAAATTACAAAATACTTGTCTAGTTTTCCCTTTGGTCCCCATAAATTGCCTACCAAAAACTTTTGACCAGTGAATCCTTAAAATGGTAGTTGTTATTTCTCGTTTAACGTTCAGCATTAAGGGAATTGGCAACGACTATTTCAACCGTTGTCAGTATAATTTGACCGGGCGGTAGGCTGTGCTGTGTGACTTTGGAATGGTACTTCAGCGAGGTAGCACTGTATAGTCGGCATCAGATCCGCACTTTCACAAGGAGTCTCATACAACAACGTACCCTGCCTCCTGCACATATACATGCAAGTACGAATACACAGCACACATGGAGGCACGTCCTTAAATAACTTAAGCTGTTGACGTTAAACAAAATAAAACCAAACCTTTCCTGAAGTATTCTTTCTGTGTAATCGTCAATGATCTCGCCTGTTGAGTAGTCGTCAATGATGGACGTCTCCCTTAATATATCAAGGAATATATTATAATAAACAGTACGTTTTCTTTCCAGACGAATTCTCTTCGTGTAGTCATCAATTACCTTTGTTACTTTCATTTTGAAACAAGTCTCGCAATACTGGATGCAACGACGCCAACATACTCATGCACGCACACACAACACACATAGAGGCACGTCCTTTAAATGACCGTGGATGTTGATAGGGCGTATAACAAAAGAAAACCAAGCCTTTCCAGACAATTTTTCTGTTTATTTTTCAATTATCTGTTCAGCTTCCATTTTGAAGAAAACAACATGGACGCACATCCTCAAATGAGCTTAGCTGTTGATAAGACGTTAAACAAAACTTCAATTATCTGTGAATTGACAAATTATCGCTTCAAATTTTGTCCAAATTTGGTATGAAGCATTCTTGGGTGAAGGGGATTCAATATTGTATAAGCAGTGGGTGTGGTCTCCCAGGGAGCAAAAGGGCGGGGCCAAATAGGAGAAATAGAGGTAAAACCTTAAAAATCCTTCTTCGAAAATCGGGATTAAGGGATTTTATCCTTATTTAGTCTGGAGCATCCATAGGCCAATATGATTCAATTACGTATAAACGTCGGAATGTCCCCCTATGAGCATAGGGGTGGGGCTCTGTTTGAAGTTTGTTCTCGCTTTATCTGAAGTACTGGATGGATCTTTCTGAAATTTCATATGTACTTGCAGCACCTACCATGGAGTAAGATATTCATTCATATTCAGGTGAGCGATACAGGCCCTCTGGGCCTCTTGTTTATGTTAAGAACGGCCTTTTTGTTCTGGATTTTTTTGGCGGAAAGAGACGAATCTGCTACCCTCTAGGGGTGTGTACTCTACTGTGTTTACCTCTACTAGTTTTATCATTTTGATTATTGTCTGTCCACTCCCATTCCGTTCAAAAATTTGATAGGCGTGATACAGGTGACGAAAAGCTTCGGCTAGTTGTTCCGATAACTTAGACACGTTTGTGGTTGCCAAATGAATGGATCTAAACGTAGGTTCGGCATAGATAGGTTCGTTATTCGAGTCGTATTTGACCAACTTAATAAACAGTGTGAGGAACTATTTCATTCCTTAGACGTTATATCAATATGTCTTCAATATGCTGTTGATTGTCCCTGAAAAATTGTAACACGTCCCACAAGTTGCCAGGAGTTGGGCTAAATGTCTCCATTTGAACCGTTCCACGTTTTTGTCAGTTTGTCCATTTCTCCCTTCGATTTAGACATGTATCGCAGACATCCGTCCTCCTGCCGTAGAAACGTTCTGCGAGATGTCGATGACACCAGTTGCATTATCTCCACACGGTGCGCAAAATATCTTCCCCGCGTGTAAATTTGCCTTCATTCTCGACATCGACACCAAAAATACCAAAACATATGTACGCAAAACCAAAAACTTATGCCAACATTTGGTATCCGAATTTTTAAATTTCCTGCAAGAACTCTACATAAAGTTGACGGACATAGCTGAATTTAACATATCTGATGTTCCTCCGTGGACCATTCAAACACCTGATTTGAACTTAACATTACATGAGCGAGGGAAATCGAGTGTTATGCCCGAAGAACACAAATCCTCCTTTTAGGAATGCATTATGAATTACCCTTCTCATACACAACTTTACAACAATGGTGCCAAAGAAGGTGAGAAAGTGGGAGCTGCCTGCTGTTAATGATAATATTTGGCCAGTAGCATATTGTAAAGTGGTGCTTTATTTAAACTGTGCTCAAAAAAGTTGGTGTGTGATAATAAACACCCTGTATTGACGAGGAGTATCACGGAAGTTACCCACTATGTTGTCATCTGTAAAACAAACAAAAACGAATATAAGTATGTTATATTAATAGTATTTAATGTTTCCCTCTTGTCCTCTAAAACGTGTTTTAGAGTGTTGCGTGAAATGGTTTGATTGCTAAATGCGTCTAAATTGTGTCGCACACAATTTTTCACTCCTTGTTTAGAACGAACATTCCATTCCTTCCTGTATTGGAAATCCTTTAAATAGCCGCTTTCACATTTCGGATTCAGTTTGAACAGCTGCCACCACTGGACAGGGGTCATTCACTTCTTTACGGAGACGTGCGAAATAAACACCCTGTATTGACGTAGGGTGAAGGGGAAGTTATCCGCTATGTTGTCCTCTGAAAACAAACAAAAACATATAACCAAAAGGCCAAGGGTGATGATATTTTCCCTTTAGAATCCTTAAATGAATGAGAGATGGTCATGAATGAGAGATGACATGTGCGTTGATGCTTTAAAAATAATGACTTCATTCATATTGATTAGACTTCTCAATTGGTTGGGTAAACTTGTGTTCAGTCAGCCGTATTTATGTTGCAACATTTTTTAGCTTATCATTCACTGTTCTGATATAGGATAGATATTATTTCCATGCTGTTTCAGTGTCT